AACTTTTAAATAGCTTAAAACTAATTAAGTATAACTTTAATTAAATAAGCTTTTAATCTAAGCATTGCATTATAAGATATTTTAAAGCTAGCAAGGAATGCTTACTTTAGCATATATAAGGATCTTTCTTACTTGCTTATCTTAATAATAAATATAAATAAAACTTAAAGCATGCTAATTAATTTAAAATAATTAAAATAATAATAAAGTTTATTTAGAAATAATTTAAAAAGCTTATAAATAAGCTAATTAAATAATTAAATGCAAAGTATAAATATTAAAAGCAGAAGTATTATAAAAAGCAAAAATAAAAGCAAAAGCTTTATAAGAAATAAGAGTAAAAGTTAATAAAGCTAATATGCTATACTTAATATAATAATTAAAAAAAAGAATAAATTTATTTTTTATTTTATAAAGGTATTTAAATCTTTAATAGCTATGCTAATATTAGCTATTAAAGTAAATTTTAATAGCTAAAAGAATATAATTAATAAATATACTACTAAGTAGGTTTTAAAAATATTTAAAGCTTTTATAAAAAAGCAAAAGTTATAATAAAATAAGTAAGTAAGGAATTAAAAATAGCAATAGTAATTAAAATTATAGCAAGGTAAATTTTAAAACTTAAAAGCTTAATTAAAAATAATAAAGTTTTATTTTAATAATCTTTGCAATATTTATTATAAAGTGCTTAAAAAGAGATATATTAATAAGTATAAGAAATTATATAAGAAATGATATTACGCTAAATTTTAATTAGCTATAAAAAGCTAGCTTTTACGCTTATTTTAAATATTCTTTTAAGAAATTAACTTTTTTCTTTTTTTATATATTTAATACTTTAATTAAGCTTTTCTTATTTTTAAAATTTTTTAAAATATTTATCTTTTTCCTTTCTTTAATTCCCTTTTATTCTTATCTTCCCTTTTTATTATATTAAAGCTCCTTCTTAAGTTATCCTTAAGAGAGTTTAGCAAAACCTATCCCTCATTGTTTAGGTGGCTCGTTTTTAATATATTTTATAAAAAGGTTAATATCCTAAGTATAAAGTTATTTACATTTATAATATAAGTATTTTCTTTAATATAATTTAAAAATTATAGTTTAATATTATAAGTTAACCTTAAGCATTTATTAAAAGGTACTTAAAAAACGTTATAAATTGCAATATTTAAAAAGTAAGTTAAGCTTTAAAAGAGCTTAATTTTAAATTTATCTTTTAAATATATACCTTATTACATAAAAAGGTTAAGTGCAATATAAGCCCAATACAAGCATGCATTACAGCTTAAGCAATAGCTCAAGCTCATTACATAAATAAAGAATAATCCTTTTTCTTTATACTTTAAATATAAACTTTATTTAAATACCTTTTAATAAATAACCTTATGTTAACTTATAATATATATTTAAAGTTTTTTTATATTATAAATTTATAATATAATTATATAAAACTTAATATAATAAAAATTTAAAAAATATAATAAGAACTTATTAAGCTTTTTCTTATTTTAAGGAATTTTAATTTTAAAAATACTTAATAACTTAATTAATAAAAATAAGGCTTAAATTTATAATAAATAAAAAAAATAATTAATATTAAAAGAACTTAATTTTTTTATATATTTAATTAATTAAAAACTTTTTATAATTAATTTTTTTTATATTAATTTTATAAACATATTTTAAAAATAATTAAAAAGCTTTTTAAAAAAAATTTACTTTATATTTAAAAACTTTATTAAATAAAAATATATTAAGCTTAATTTAATTATATTATAATAATATTATAAAAAGGAAATAATAAAATTTTTTATTTAATTTAATTAATTATTTATATAATAAAAGCTTAAAGTTAATTAAATAAATATAAAATATTATTAATAATTAATAGCTTAATCTTTATAATAAAAGTTTAATTTAATTATAAAAAATAATTAAATATATTTAAAGCCTTTTACTTTATCTTATAATAATATAAAAATATTTTTAATATTATAATAAAGGAAAATAATATTTAATTTTAAAATAATAAAATAATAAATATTAATATTATAATAATTTTAATAAGTAAAGTTAAGTATTTTATATATATTTAATTTAATTATTATAAGTATAATTATTTTAATTATTATAAAAAAATAAAAAAATAATGTTTATTAATTAAAATTAATAAAAAAAAGGAGTTTATTTAAGAAAATATAAATTCTTTTTTATAAAGTAAGGTTTAAAGTATTATTAATTTAATATTAACTTAAACTTAAAATAAGTTAATTATATATTAATTAATTTAATATTATAAAATACTTAAAATTTAAAATTCTTTTATTAATAAAGTAAATTATTATTATGGGCTGGCCCCAAAGGGGCTGCAGGCTGGCTAGCGCCTTCTCCCATAAGCTGCAAAGCAGCAACCTTTTAACTAAGCCAAAAGGTACGTAATAATCCAAGCTCCCTTGGATTATCTAGCCACACTATATAAGGCTTGGGCAATAGCCCAAGCCTATTATAATTATTTATAATTAAGCATTAATTAATTATAAATTATATAATTAATTTATAATCTTAAAGTTTTAAATAAAAAAGCTTATATAAAAAGCTTAAATTAAAGAATTATAAAAATATTATTAATTTAATTATTAATTTATATTTAAATAATTATTTTTATTAACTTACTTTAATTAATATATTAAATTATAAGGGTTAAAAGTATATTAATTATAAAAAATAAGCTAAGCTTTTAATATATTTAAAAAGCATTAAAGTATAATTAAATAATTAAGTAAAAAATAATATTTAATTTATAATTAAATTATAATATCCTTTATTTTTTATTATATAATTATCTTTTAAAGCTTATTATAAAAACTTAAAAAAAGAAGATATATTATAATTTAAGCTTTACTTATTATAATTAATTAATAAGCTTTAGCTTTATAAAAATAAGCTTTAATATAAGTATTAATAAAAAGCGAATTTCTTTCTTTATACTTTAAATATAAACCTTATTTAAGCACCTTATAGTAAATAACTTAAGGCTAGCTTATAATAATTAATTATAATTAAAAATAAACTTTTATAAATTTAAATTTATTTTTATAATAAAAAAAGCTTAATAATATTATAATAAATATAATAATATATTAATTATTTATTAAATTTATTAATTATTTTATTATATAAATAAAATTAAACCTTATATTTTTATATATAATATTATTAATATTTAATATAAAGCTTATAATTTATTATTTAAATATTATAAAAAAAGTATTTTAATATATTTAATATATATTAAATTATATTTTAAAATTTTTAAAATAAACATTATTATTTTAATTTATTATATTTAATATATATATTAATACTTTTTATAATATTAATATAAATAATTTAAAAGTATTTAATAAATATATATAACTTTTTAATAATAGTTTAATTATTTAATTATTAAAGCATTAATTTATTATTATAAACTTTATTTATAAAATAAAATATATAATATATTTTTTAATATTATTATATTTTTATTAAATATATTAATTTTTTTTTATTTTATATATTAATAATTAATTAATATTAAATCTTATTTAAAATTTTAAAATTAATGCTTAATTAAAAAATATTATTATTTATTATTATTTTATTTATAAAAAAAAAATTAAAAAAATATATAATATTTATTATATTATATTTAAAGATAATTTTATTAATATTTATATAAAAGTATTATTTTATTTTATTTTTAAAAAAGCTTATATAAAATTAAAATTAAAATAAATATAAAGTTTATATTATTAAATAAATATTTAAATAATAAATTAAAAATAATATAAGTAAAATATATAAATATTAAGTAATATTTATATAATAATTTTAATATAAATTATAATGAAATGTTTAAATTATATTTTATGTTGAAATAACACTTCATTGGACCGTATGCTATCCCCTTGATAGGACGGGCTTAGTCATCCCGTCCAACTGGTACGGTGGCCTTATCTGGCCACCTTGTGAAAGCCGTCGTTCTGATAGTTAGCTAGAGATAACAACAAATACAGACGCAATTGCACGACCATGTATGTATGTACATTAGCCATATGGCAAAGGCCATTCAACATTTTAGCTATTATATATTATATTTCTTATTATTGTTAAATAATAATACTTGCGATAAGGGGTGTATTGAAAGGTGCAAGGGTTATATGCCTATATATTAACGCTAGCCTATAAATAGGCTCCTTCTAAGCGTTTGATAGCGGGAGACTTCTCTCCTTAACACTCAACAATCAACTATCGTTTGCTTTATTGCTTCATCAGAGCTTAACCGAAGTGAACTGCAGCGCGCATTAGCTTCACCCCTCCCTCACTTTAGCACAGTTACATTCTGACCTACAACTATTCCAGATCCAGGGGTGACTATAGAGTTCGCATTGCAATTGATGTCGTGTGCCCTCATCCCCGTCGTGTTGCCAATGTTATTGTGCTGGAGTCTCGGACCTGGTGGACCATGGAATGCAAGTCATAATGCGGTAACGGAGTGGTGAGAGCCAGAGATACAGCTCTCTGTTTTTTCAGTAGATGTCATGGTATTGAATTTCTTTACTTTTATTCAGAACAGGAGCGAAATGAGAGTTTACGTACAAGTAGACGCCAAGAAGCACATATCAACAGAGAAGGCAAGAAAACAAGACAAAATAAGCACAGATCATGTTTCGAATCCAGTTCGACGTCAATAGCAACTGACCATCCAAAATGATAAAATCATTGCGCACCAGGTGGTATCAAATAGCAAGACGAAGGGGAAACATTCGCTCATATCCCTTCCGATAATGAAAGCTTGCTCCTGTCCAGTCCGGTACTTTTTTCCTCGCTGTGACTACTGCCTGCTTTTTCCTTGCCCAGCCGTAACCTCATTCGTATGCGTAGATGGTCGTGATTACTAGTACATGAGAGGCATTTCGTACAATCGTGAGTGTGTGTGTGGCGAGCAGAGTCGTCTAGGCGGCGACGGCGGGAGAGGCCTTGACCGTGTTGAGTATCTCGTGTGCTGAGTGCTTCGTTATACCACCGGTGACCGGGAGGTTGGTGGAGTGCTCCAGGTACAGATCGACCTCGCGCGCTGCCTGGCGACCCTCGTTGATGCCCCTGGGGTGATTGTTAGTTAATATTCAAGTATGGATGAGAATGTCACCGTTTGGGGGACTTACCAGACAATGAGGGACTGGCCACGTCGGCAATCGCCTGCAGCAAACACACCATCGATGTTTGTCGAGTACTTGCCCGCCGGCGTCTTGACGTTGGTCCGGCCGTCCTTCTCGACCTCATCGCCAATCGCACGTTGCTCGGGGCCCAGGAAGCCCATGGCCAGGAGCACAAGGTCGGCAGGGAAGAACTCCTCGCTGCCCTCGACGTCCTTGAGGACCCACTTTCCGGCGTCGTCCTTGCTCCAATCGACACGCACCGTCTCGATACCCTTGACGTTCCCGTTGCCATCGCTGACAAACTTGGAAGACTTAATGCAGTACTCACGAGGGTCCTTGCCGGTGTGCTGTCGCACCTCACTATGACCGTAGTCGACGCGGTAAATGCGAGGCCACTGTGGCCAAGGGTTGTCACGCGCACGGGTTTCGGCTGGCTGGGGCAGGAGCTCAAAGTTGACGACGGACTTGGCGCCGTGACGGACAGAGGTGCCGATACAGTCGTTGCCTGTATCACCACCGCCAATGACGACAACGTGCTTGCCCTTGGCCGAGATGTAACCACCGTCAGCTAGCTCGGAGTCGAGCAGCGACTTTGTGTTCTTGTGCAAGAACTCCATAGCGAAGTGGATGCCGCTGAGGTTACGTCCTTCAATAGGCAGGTCTCGTCCCACTGTCGCGCCGGTGGCAATGACAACGGCATTGTTCTGGGCGCGGAGATCATTCAGCGTCAGCTCGTCGCCAACGCTGACGCCGGTCTTGAACTGAACGCCTTCAGCAGCCATGAAGTCGGTCCTTCGCTTGACGATGCGCTTGTCAAGCTTCATGTTGGGGATACCGTACATCAGCAGACCACCAAGTCTGTCGGCCCGCTCGTAGACGGTGACCAGGTGACCAGCCCTGTTGAGCTGGTCGGCAGCGGCAAGACCAGCGGGGCCAGAGCCGACGATGGCAATCTTCTTCCCGGTGCGAACCTGAGGCGGGCGAGGTACCATCCAGCCCATATCAAAACCGCGGTCAATGATGGCACATTCAATAGACTTGATGCCAACGGGATCCTCGTTGATGCCGAGGACACATGCACCTTCGCAAGGCGCCGGGCAGACACGACCGGTGAACTCGGGGAAATTGTTGGTCATGAGAAGGCGGTTGAGAGCATCTTGCCACTGGTTGCGGAACACGAGCTCGTTCCACTTAGGAATGATGTTCGAGATGGGACAACCGGTGTCGGACTGGCAGAAGGGAACACCACAGTCCATGCATCGAGCAGATTGATACTTGAGCTCGTCCTCGTCAAGTCGCGAGGAAAGCTCAGCCCAGTCCTTGGTGCGGGTCTTGACGTCACGATACTTCTCCGCGCGACGGTGGTACTTCATGAAGCCCTTGGTCTTGTCAAGGACAGGGCGCGCCTGGACTCGGCCTTGCTGTCTCCCATGGCCTCCTCCATATCCTGGAGAGGGGCAGCCTTAGCCTTCTCTTCCTTCTTGCCCGGAATGACGGGCAGGTTGAGCTCAGCCTTCTTGGCTTCCGCAGCCTTGGCGGCATCTTCCATAAGAACTCGCTTGTAGTCAACTGGAAGAACCTTGATGAATCGGGGCAGGACCCGGTTGAAGTCGACCAAGACACGAGCAGCAAGCTCGGAACCGGTGTAGTGGTGGTGGTCCTCGATCATACCCCGGAGGAAGGCGATCTCGGTGGGGTCATCGACGCCAGAAGCCTCCACCATCTCCGTGTTGAGCTTGGAGAGGAAGTCGTGGTCTTTGTCCAGGACGTACGCAATACCACCCGACATGCCGGCGGCGAAGTTGCGGCCCGTGCTGCCCAGGACAACGATACGGCCTCCCGTCATGTACTCGCAGCCGTGATCACCAACACCTTCAACAACGGCATGAGCGCCAGAGTTTCGCACGGCGAATCGCTCGGCAGCAACACCGCGGAAGTAACAGTGGCCAGCAGTGGCGCCGTACAGACACACGTTGCCAACCAGAACGTTCTCTTCCGCCTTGAATACGGCGGAGCGAGGTGGGTAGATAACAAGACGACCACCCGACAGACCCTTACCAACGTAGTCGTTGGAATCACCCTCCAACTCGAGAGTCACACCAGGGGCCAAGAAGGCACCGAAGGACTGCCCAGCGGATCCCTTGATGGAAACATGGACTGTATCGACAGGCAGACCAGCCTCTCCATAACGCTTGGAGATCTGGTAAGAAAGGGAAGTGCCCATGGCACGGTCTGTGTTGACAATATCGCATTCAATACGACTTGGTAGGCCCTTGTCCAACGTGAGCTCGGCCTCGGAGATGAGTTTGTTGTCCAGGCGGACATAGAGACGGTGGTCCTGCTTCCTGACATTGAACGTGGCGACACCACTGCGCAGCGAGTGCGCCGGGGTGAGCAGGAGGTCGAGGTCAAGATTCTCAGTCTTGTGCGTCCGCAGGTCATCCCGGACCTTCAAGCACTCGACGTGGCCAACCATCTCGTTGATGGTTCTGAAACCAAGCTGGGCCATGATGGCTCGCAGCTCATTCGCCACGTAGTAGAAGAAGTTGATGACGTGCTCGGGTGTTCCCTTGAACTTCTCACGCAGCTTCGGGTCCTGGGTGGCGATTCCAACGGGGCCTGCACGTTCAGAGTTAGCTATTAATGGACTTGAACAACAATTGTCACGAGAATGTACTTACAGGTGTTGAGATGACAATTGTGAACCACGGTGCGGTCAGCAAGCTGGTAGAGGCCCCCGGTGACCTCAATCGGACGATATTCAGTCTCAGAAGCGTCGGAGATCGTAAAAGGGCGGGCGTTTTTGTTCCTCCAGGTATGGGATCGTGAGACGTCAAGCTTCTTCCTGGCAAACAGAAGATGATGTTGAAACTTTTGAGTGCCCTTCGACAGGTTGAACGACCACGACGGCTCGCTTCTGTTGTCTCTCTGGCGGGTGAAGATGCTGGAGCACTGTATACCACACGATAGAGCCAGTTCCCGGGCGTCCTCGACGATCTTCTTGTGTTCACAAGTGCTCTGCTCGAGCGTGTAGATATCGTAGTCTTTTCGAAGCACTCCGTCCGATTCGATGAGACCAGCGAGAACAGCCAGGCGTGTGTCCTCGTCCGCATGCATGAAGCAGTCTGGAATACCTGCAGCCTTGTCTTCGCCGATGAAGCCCAGCTCCTTCAACGCCTCCCGAACAGGATTCCAGGTATTTGGACCAGTTTTCTGCGTCGACGTGATGCCCCAGTGGTAGACATTGACGTTGTGCTGATAATTCTTATTGCGGTATGGATCGTGCATTACGTCGCCCGCCTTCTCGATGATCTGTTCCGACAGCCCCAGAGGATGAGCGTCCGCCGGCTTCTCCGCGTTCAGACGGTCGACATACGCCTGGATGTAGACCTTGATTTCCAGATCAGAACTGACAATCTGAGTCGTCCTCTTGACTCCATCACCAAGCCAGAAACCAAACCAGTATGGGTCGAGTGGAACGTCCGCTGATGGCGTTTCTGATGGCACGAACCGCAAAGGGGCTCGGTAAAGCTTCAGGTGATTGTGGGGGAGGTCGTCCTTCTTGCAGCACGAGGCTTCAAACTGATCCAGGGTCATGGTGAAGCATTCGCCGTTCGACACCGCACATGGGTCGACGACACGATAGTGATCACTGCTGAGTAGCTGATAGGCGAGATCGGCTTGCTCAGTTGACTTGAACGTCACGGTGACCATCTTGAAGCCTTCACAGCCACCGGATTTGCACGTCGTCCGCAAGGACTCCCGGACGGCAGCAAATTTCTCCATGTGATCCTCGTCAGATACCAACTGAGCAGTATCCGCGAAAGACGAAGACGACGCAGTCTGTTGAGAATCCTGCTGAGAGGAGAACTGAGCCTGAACGCCTGGACGCCACGTTTGGTCCGACGGATGGGTAGACGATGGCATCCGTGCCAGTTTCTTGAATTGTCGCGGCTTCGATGGTGAGGACTGGCCAAGATCGAACACAACACCATCGTCGTCGTCGGGAATTTCTTCTTGTTCAGGCATTAAAGCCTCCAGATATTCGTCCATGTGGTCGTGCAGAGCCTGACGGACGACTGGTTGGACGTCGGTCGACTCCAACTCTGGGAGTCGGTACTTGAACTTCTCGAAAGCCGGTGAAACAGGAGGAGGCGGCACATCCTCAGTTCCGGGCATCTGAGAATCGGCCTCAGAATCAGGGATTACCAACATGCTGTTCATAATATTGTTGATGTGCTCGTGAGCCTCAGCATCGGTAGGGCGTCGTCCAAGATTGTCAGAGACTTCAGTGTACAGCTCATGCATCGACTGGTCCCATTTGATCGCCTGTACGTCGTCGACGAGCTCAGTTCTACAGCAACGGGTAAACCACTGTACACCACAGCCTTTCTTGACGATGGAAGGCGAGACGCCGAACGCCCGCAGCGACATGATGTGATCTGGCGTACAGGTGAAGGAGGACTTCTTGACGGAGTCGTAGTCTGTGTACGTGATAGTCTTCATCGAGTTCGACGTTTCAATGTCCGAGACACCCGTGCATAGGACAGGCATGTCTTTGTCGTCGAAGAGCTTGTCACCGACCTTGATGTCCTTGATCGCCTTGGGTCCCGACGTGGTGCGGACCATGGTGTCGGGCGATAGACATTTGCGCATCTATATAAAACATGTCAGTAAAGAGTAGACAAGTCGACGGATTAACAAAGAGACGGATCAACAGGTCGACGGATCACCAAGTCGACGACTCGTTGAATCAAAAAGGCGACAAGTCAACGGATCACCAGGTCGACGAGTCGACGAATCGTGGAATCAACAGACGACGGATCACCAGGTCGACAAGTCGTCGACTCGTTGAATCAAAAAAGCAACAAGTCGACGAGTCGTCGAATCAAAAGGGCGACAAGTCGACAAAGGGACGAATAAACGAGGTGATAAATCGACAAGTCGACGAATCAACAGGGCGACGACGAGTCGACAGATTGAGTGACTTACCATAATGCAGCCCATCGCGATTAAAGGAGCAGTGGCGAAACCCCACTCCTCAGCTCCCAGGAGACAGGCAATGGCGACTATGGATGTTCCATCAGCAAGAGATCGACGATTAGGACACGGATTAGGACATACCGTCACGACCAGTTCTCAGTTGACCGTCGGTTTGAACGACAACCCGTCCACGAAGATCGTTCAAGACCTGAACACAAGGAATTAGTCGACGTCCAAAAGAGCACGACGTTGGTGTAAGAAAAGGGACTTCCAGCTACGACGTCGACAACAACAGAAATATGAGAGTTGACTTACAAGTGTTTGGTGAGTCTCGGCTAGACCAAGCTCCCAGGGGAGACCAGCATGCTTGATACCGGTCCATCGGGAAGCGCCAGTGCCACCATCGTGGCCAGAGATCAGGATGTGGTCAGCCTTGGCCTTGGCCACACCAGCGGCGACGATACCGACTCCGGTCTCCGAGACAAGCTTGACCGAGACTCGCGAGCGGGGGCTGGAGCACTTGAGATCGTAGATGAGCTGCTTCAGATCCTCGATGGAGTAGATGTCGTGGTGAGGCGGTGGCGAGATAAGACCGACACCTGGAGTCGAGTGACGGGTCCTTGCGATGCTCTTGCTGACCTTGTGGCCGGGCAATTCGCCGCTGGGCAGTGTCAGTAATCTGCTCGAATCCCAAGGGAAATAGAGTGCAATAGCAGGTATGCGCTTACCCTTCTCCCGGCTTTGCGCCTTGGGCCATCTTGATTTGCAATTCGTCGGAATCGCACAAGTATGCAGAAGTGACTCCAAACCGCCCACTTGCCTATAATAGGTCAGAAAACACCACAACACAGGTGAGAATGATCGAGTACTGACAACTTGCTTGATAGCAGACCTCCTGGTATCGCCATTCTCATCAACGAGTGATCTTTCAGGATCCTCCCCGCCTTCTCCAGTGTTAGATTTCCCACCCAAACGATTGAGGGCTACGGCGAGTGTTGCGTGGGACTCCATGGAGATGGATCCGTAGGACATGGCGCCAGTGCAGAAGCGGCGGACAATCTCGGTCCAGGGCTCGACCTGGTCGATGGGGATGGATTTGGACTCGTCGAACTCGAAGTCCAGCATGCCGCGCAGTGTGCAGGCCTTGACCTGCTCATATTCGGACTTGGAGTATGCCTCGTATGACTTGTCGTTCTTGTTGCGGACGGCGTCCTGGATGTTGGCGATGGAGACAGGGTCGTTGATGTGAGGCTCGCCACCGTCTCGCCAGTGGTACTCGCGACTCGGTAAGGCCGGGGACACTGACAGTGTAACGGGACGGGAAGCCTCGCTCGTGGAACCTGAAGGCGTCCTCGGCAATGTGCTCGAGAGTGACACCTCCGATACGGGAGGCAGTTCCCCTGAAGGCCAATTCCACGACGGAGTTGTGGACTCCCAGAGCCTCGAAGATCTGGGCACCCTTGTAACTGGCCAGTGTAGAAATACCCATCTTGCTCATAACCTTGAGAATTCCACCGTCGCAGGAGTGCTTGTAGTTTTTGATGAGGTCCTCGTCGGTCATCTTCTTCCGAATGAGCTTCTCCCGGTTCAGCTTCAAGATGCACTCCATGGCTAGGTATGGGTTGATGCCATCAGCGCCGTAGGCGAGCAGGACACACATGTGCTGGACCTCGCGGGCCTCAGCAGTCTCGACGACGATGGCAGCCATCGATCGCCACTTGTTGTTGACCAGGTGATGGTGGACCATGCCGGACGCCAGGAGAGTTGAGACCGAAATGCGGTCCGCCGACGTGTTGCGGTCGGACAGGATGATGATACGGTTGCGTTGCTCGATGGCATCAGTGGCCTCGTTACGGATGTAGTCGAGGTGCTTGATGTAGCCTTCAATCCCGTCCTTCTTAGGGAATGTGATGTCGATGACTTTGACAGTCCACTCAGGGTAGAGCTTCGACATCGTCTTCAGCGTGTTGAGCTCCGGGATAGTGAGGATAGGGCTCTTGAGGAGTAGCCGACCGCATTGCTCGGGAGCAATTTCCAAAAGGTTGCCTTGGGGTCCGACATAGCATTCCAAGGACATGACAATCGACTCCCTGATAGGATCAATGGGAGGATTGGTCACTTGGGCGAACAACTGTCTGAAGTAGTTCGCAAGCAGTTGCGGCTCCTTGGAAAGGCAAGCAAGAGGAGCGTCATTGCCCATAGAGCCAAGAGCCTCCTTCTCGTCGGCCGCCATAGGGGCAAGAATGAGGGTGACCTGCTCAAAGGTGTATCCAAAGGCATGCAGGAGGGGGTCTTCCTGGACAGCATGGGTATCAGGTTTCGCAGCCAAGTCAAGGGACTTGTCAGCCTCGGACTGCTTGAGGACGTTGTCCAGCTTCAGAAGCTCACTGTCCAGCCAAGAGCGGAAGTCTTGTCGCTGGGAGACTCTCTCCTTCAGCTCGCGGTCATCAATGATGCGCCCTTCCTGGGTGTCAACCAGCAGCATACGACCAGGCTGCAGACGACCCTTTTGCACCACACGTTCAGGCTCTACGCTGATGGTACCAACCTCGGAAGCGCAGATGATGCGGTCGTCGTCCATGACATAGAACCGGCAAGGCCGAAGTCCGTTTCGGTCGAGATTAGCACCGCAGAAGCGACCATCGGCAAAGGTGAAAAGAGCAGGGCCGTCCCATGGCTCCATTTGGCACGCGGCCCACTCATAGAAAGCGGCCTTCTTGGGATCCATGTGGGCATTATCCTGCCACGCCTCGGGAACCATCAGCATAACAGCCTCCGGCAAGGAAAGCACACCATTGATGGTGAGCAGCTCGAGGACATTGTCAAAAGCAGCAGAATCAGAGCCACCATCTTCGACGATAGGATACAGCATCTCCAACTCTTCCGCAAACACGTCCGACTGCATCACACCTTCGCGAGCCCTCATCCAGTTCTTGTTGCCACGCAGGGTGTTGATTTCGCCTGGGAACAAGTTAGTACCTCAATGCGATCGGCCCAGGGGTGCTTGACCTACCGTTGTGGGCAGCCCACCGAAGAGGCTGTGCACGGTCCCATGAAGGGAATGTGTTGGTGGAGAACCGAGAGTGTACCAGGGCAAAGTGTGCCTCGTAGTCGGCGTTCACCAGATCGTGGTAGTACTGGTAGACCTGAACAGGTGCAAGCTGGCCCTTGTAAACAATGTTCTTGTTGGACAGCGAGCAGATGTAGAACCAGTTGTGGAGGCCGATGGTGTGAGTGGCGCGCTTTCGCAGCACGAATAGCTGCCTTTCAAGGTGCCTGAAGTCGAACTTCTCGGGGTCGGTCATTTCTGGCGCGTTCCCGGAGCCGTAGTAAGACGTGAGGACTACAAAAGGCTGCAGAATGACAGGCTGGCGACTGAGAGCAGCAGGCCCGAGCAGACTGGGATCGGTGGGAGGCTCTCGCCATCCCAGGATCCGCAGGCCCAAGGACTCGGCAATGTCTTCCAATTGCCGTTGCTGCTCCTGCAGCTTCTCGGGCTCGGGGTTGAAGAATAGGTTGCCCACAGCATACTGTCCAGGAGGCGGAAGCTTGATGCCAACATCGCGCTCGAAGTTCTTGATGAAGAACTTGAAGGGGATCGAAGTCATGACACCAGCACCGTCGCCGTCCCGAGCATCAGATCCCACCGCACCTCGATGGGTCATGTTGCAAAGAAGGTTGCGAGCTAGCAATGGTTGGTTAGTCCAAGCTGGAAGACTCGATTCCGGACTTTTTCTTCTACTCACCATCGCTGACAATCTTGTGGCTTGCCTTGCCCTTGATGTGGCTACACGCCGTTAGCTAGAGCTCAGTCAGATGAACAGGGCTACGCACCAGGCAAAACCGACACCGCACGCATCTTTCTCAAGATCAGGATCGTAAAGTCCCCTGTGTTGTACCATTTAGCGATTGTGGATCCCCATGATAGGTCGAGGGCGCTTACTGCTTCACCGGCAGGGCACCGGCCCAAGAGCCGTTGCCCTCTTCCTGATATTCATAGGGATGGTACGCTTCGGTTTCAGCCAGTAAATGTTGGTCTCTGTCGTCGAACTCATTAACCACGCCCATGCTAGGCCACCACTCCTAAATTTCTGGGTGGGTTAAGAGGTCACTGGAGGACTCGAGACTCGTCTCTGATAATAGAGAGATGAGCCTGCTGTTTATTTTTGAGAGCAGCAGCGCTGCTCTTGAGGGCTAGTCTTAAAGGAAAAGCACTGTTAGCAAGTCTATGTATTTGATCCCTTGTCAGTCAAGAGCACTGGAAAGCCGGAAGAGATGTTCGCCAAAACGTGAGTAGCCATCCGTCGGCAGCCCTGGGTGGTATTGGAGATTGGAACCGATCCGGGCCATTGGTTTGGGTTGCGGTAGGTGTCAAGTATCGTCGCGAGAGGCTCAAACGCTGACCGGACGAGCGAAGAGTGCAGATCGGCTTTGACCAGCCTGCGCAGCATTGCATGACACGGGAATATGCGCACTCGAGAAAGCAGGCCCGAGCTCTCAGCGGGGTCGGTCATGCCCGGCTCCAAGAGCCTCACAGGAAGACCCACTGCCAGTCTTGGAATAGCTTGTGATACATGATCCCCTTGCACAAATCCCGAGCAGCTGCGTCTCTCTCTTTGTCGTATATTTCTTTCTTGTGGCTGCGTCATTCAGGGCTGGCTCTCACTGGATCGCATGACGAAGCTATTGCCGGTACAAGATGCTGTCCTGGCGGCCATGATCTGAACTGATGACAGAGTCGCTCTGGGGGGTTGACAGCCTGGAGAGTCTCAACTCCTGGACGTGTTTGAGGCTGCTGGCGAGGCGCATTCCCTGATGAGTGTAATGTCTCTGTGGGTCGCTCCTTTTCTGATGGTCGTCGCATGCGGAGAACTCATCCAGTGCATCCCCCGAGCCGGGTTGGGAAGTCTGGCGCGTGCGATGCAAGGTGTGGCACCGACCAATGAGAAGAGTTCGGCGTAGAGCTCCTCGTGCAACTACAGCGCGGCCTCTGATAAGGAGAGTGGCATATTTTGTACTCTTTGGCCCGGCTTCTCCGCACATGGACTGTCGCAAAGACGCCACGAGCAAACAGGGGCGGGTCGGCTCTCGAGGCAAGCCACGAGGATCTACGCCGACGCGCGAATCCGGCGTCTGCTCGCGCAGCACAGCCGATATTTCGCTGAGGGCGTTCGGCGGGCAGTCTTCGGGGACCGAATTGCCGCTGAGTGCTGTCGATCCGACGGGACGGAGCTGGTGAATACGGCATTTTGTTGCCGTGCCATGCGTGACACGAGATGTCGTTGAACTCCTTGGTGGGCAGCGCAGGGCGGAGGGGGCAAAAGGGCGTCGGGACTGGCTCCCATCTCTTCACGGCGCGGGCTAGCATGTGACTGGGTCTTGACTACTACTTACCTTGAAAAGTTGTTTGTTTTTCAGCGAGGAAACGCGGATGCTTGCAGAATGAGCGAGTGCTTGTGGTATGCGCCAAAGTCTGTGAGAGAGCAGGCAGGCACTACGTGTGTGGTGGTGAAGAGAAGGGGGGGAGACAGGAAAAAGTTTGGCCACAGAAGGGGGACTAGACTTTATGGATGGGAAGGCGTGGGAGGCGTGGGAGACCTAGGATGGGCTGGCAGGCTGGGGGGGAAGCCAAGACTCCGTTCTAGGACAACCTCAGGCAAGCAGTGCCAGTGTCTCCCCAGTGCGTCTAATTGAGCTGGGACAGAGAGGGGCAAGGCGTCGTCTGCTCTGAGAGTAGCCGTAGTACTGTACACTATCCACGCCAGCCATAGAGATTGCAAGGGTTTACAATAAACAGGTGGGGCCCGCAGAGCAGAAACGTGGGCCGTGCAGTCGAGTGACGGAGGTGGGACTGTGAGAGGCGCCACCAGCAGCAAACACCAAGGTCCCAGCAGACGGCATTATTTACACTATTGTCACGGGCCGACCTCGCTTGGGTATATGAAATGGCAATGGCACTGTGAGCTGACAGGGCTGCAAGGCTATGTGACCTTGTGACACTGCTCTCTTAATTCCTACTTCGGACGTGTGGCTCTCAAGGGTCTTCTCGATCATGCCAACGCCCCGAGTCGCATCTCCATCGCCGTCTGCACATCCACCGCTGAAGCTGTCGCCGTCGCCGTCGCAGTCACTGGAATACATGTGCCCTACCTCCCCTTCGCAGATAAATGATCGACCTTGCTTTTGCGATGCGCATTGCGTTGTCTTGCGGCACCCTGATGCCGCAATGGTCCTAAGCGACCTTCCTAGAGGAGTTGGGGGAGGGGAGGGGACAGGTGGGTGTGGCAGAGTGGGAGAGGCTAGCAAACAAGACTCCACGTGCAGTGTCATTTACTAGTAGGGCGATCGGGGAAGCGGCTACGGTTGCGGTTGCAATGGCCTTGCTGCCGGGCGTAGTCTGCATTCTGCTTTGACGCACCCTTGATGCGTGGCAGGCACATTGGGCGCGGCGGCTTGTCTGTCCTCTTGCGCTTCACCCCAAGCTCTGATGAGGCTGGTGGGGCAGAAGATTTTGTCGTTTCCGGCCAGAACCAGAGCTGTGGTAAGTGATGTAGCCTCCTGGGTCTTGTCCCTCCCAAGAGACCAATCACAGCTGGCGCATTCCACATGAGAGCTGCACGTTTCATGCGCTTGGCCTGGGGTTGTGTGGTGGTGACGACTGGGACAAGGGCCTTGGGTATTCATTGACTTTTCCCCGTGCAACACAATGAGTGCCCAGGCGTCCCGGGCAGATGAGATTGGAAAGGCAAGACATTTCCTCGTCCTCTCCCTCGACCCTGGACGAGTCTCGTTGTTGGCCCAGCAGAGAGCAAATCATTGCGTTGCCTGGTCAGTTACGTATGTACATCCGCTGATGACAGCATGTCTCGGCCGATCTGCCAGCGTGGCATGTGAACTGAAGCAAAGCAAAGCAAAGTGCCCGGCACTCCCAAGGCTTGTACCACCCAGCAACAAGAAGAAGGCGGTTGGCGGTTCCTTTGTCCACCCCAAGCTCTCCCCCACACAGGCCAGCGGAGCTAGCAAGGGGGGGCCCCAGCTAGCTCAGGGTCCCGCATGCGAGCTTGAGCGACCCCTGCAAGAAAGAAAAAAAGTGGCAGTCACTCGTCGCCTATCAGGACGTCGGCTTTAGCAACACCGGGCGTCCGCCGATCTCGCAGCAGCAGCCAGATCAGAGCTATGCATTTGCAATTGTATTGCTCATCACAAGTTCAAATAAATTCCGCCGAGCCTGGAACCCGCGGAGCCTGGGGCCCTTGCCCCGTGACTGCCAGGCTGCATAGGCATGCTAAGGCTTGCGGCCCATTTAGATGAAAGATGAAGACAAGTCAATACATTTTGCCAGGCAAATGACGGAATGGTAGATTGTGGGAGTGGTAGGGAGGACCAGAGCTGGACGCCGTGGCGACGGCGTGGGCACGGTGTGTTCCTCGTTCGCCTCGTTTCCCTGTGCATTTAGGTATGTTGACTTTTACCATAGCGGCAGTCTTGGCCTCGCCCACCAATGGCCGGCGTCAATTGCGTCGTCGCAAGCCATAGCACCGAAAGCACCTGTCAGGGCCTGGGGGGACGTCTCGGGCGAATCCTGGTGTTCTCAGTGCCCAACCAACTTTCTTGATAGCTTGCTGTCAAAAAATCGTCATCAACATTTGCCTCGCAGGCCACACGGCCAATCAGATCGGATGCCGTCGAGGGAAAGTCTTATCTTGGGCCAACGACAGACATCCGAGGCTCTAGCCTCGTCTCGTCTCGGCCACCACATGGGCAAACGGGAGAGGACGAGGGCCAACGGAGCGCCTTACCCCGCGCAGCCATCAGATCAGCGGGACTGGGGATCGTCTGCGACACCACGGCCTTGAAGTTCCACCGGTGATTTCAAGGCGTCCGTCCGTCTTGCCATCCTGATCAGCGCCTCGTCTTCCGGCCATGGAGAGATCGCTGAGCTGGCGTGGCAGTCCGCAACGGATCCTTTGTGCGACGGCGCAAATCCAAGGCCATGCTAACATAACGGCAGATACGCAGCCTACTGTTTGCGGGGGTCCAATCGTGCTTACACGAGCCAGCCTGGCCACCAGCAGCAACTTCGCTCCCACGTTACGACCCAGAGAGGCCGAGGTCGGCTGTTCTCATGGGCCGGAGATGTCCTGATGCACCGAACGCCTTGGTCGTTCCCGACGACCGCCGCACCAGAGAGCCAGGCGTCATGAGAGGTGTTCCGAGTTTTCCCGAGGAAGATCCATCGAGTTTTCTGCTAGCAATTTCCGCGGGTCATCTCTTTGCAGCACACCGTAATCACCCAGGTTCTAGGCAGTGAATGACGAGTCGCCGAGCCATGCATTCATTCATTTGAATACCATCTTCCGCGATTTGCGAAACAAGCTTCCGGACCCTCTTTGGAATGGCCTGTCTACTTTGCGTAAACGAGACAGCTCCACTATCTGGCCTGCGTCCCGACAGCCACCATACAGAGCAATTGCAGTTACTTGATAAAAATCAAGGCCCTGGGCCATCTCCTTCTTGTTCCTGTTGATCCGGACCGAAGGCCGTCTTCCGGCAGAAACAGCCCACCGCAGCAGCGAGCAAATCCGCGTGGGAAAAAACAAGGAAGCCAGCGGTTTGCCTGGCGGTCTGGCTGGCTGGCTGAATGGTAAATTAAGACCATGTGACCAGCAAGCTCTTTGTTCATCCCAGGCGGTGAGAGTAAACAGTCAGACAGTCCAACTGGCCACCACACGCGAGCTCGCACATAGCGAAGAGGCTTTTTGCAGCCCGGTGAAGGGAATTTGCAGCCAGGAATGTTTACCCGGGTTTTTTGCCCGTAATTTTTGCTGGTGAAACGTCAACGCCAGATCTCAGCAAGGATCAGCTCCACATAACCAGATCTGGCCGCCCAGCCGGGGCCACTCAGCCGCGCGGCTCCGTGCTTAGCCGCAGGTACTTTAGTCCATGCACATGCTGAAGTACTCCTGAAGGTGGGGTAAAGCTTACATGTCTTGGGGTAGGTAGTCTATACACCTGGGGTCGAAGTGAGGCACCTCACGATCCGCAGCACGTCAACAAGCGAAACGCGTGACTAAACGCCGAAATACAGTCTGTTAGCGCTGTTTCTTCGCGAGACGCCTCCCACCCACTACTCTCGTCGCCAACACTCACCAGTAATCGTATGACCGGAGGTGTTGCGTCTCATCAACTCGCCCGTTTAGGCGGGCATACCTGGGGATAATGGACTACGCACCGATGCTCCCTGATCTGACGCCTCGCGATGTGAGCCCCACCGGAATTCACATGTGCCATGGCTTCCTATGCTGACAAAGTCCTGCAGTCTCACAGTCTCTGGTATACCTCCCGCCACACTCACTCCTCTCTTCTGCACCAGCTCAACGGTCACGACGAGTCGCCGACGGACGACAATGGCAACCACAACAACGGCCAGCTGAACCGCCACGGCCAGCTGAACCGCCACGGCCAGCACCCCTCCGGCCATGGCCGCGACCACCGCCGCGCGCTGGTGGAGCGCACCCCTCTCGCGCGCCTCCGCCTGGACGAGCAGATCATGGAACGCCGCCGCCAGAACGTAACCAACTTCGGCAGCGCGTGGCTGAAGCCACCAGGCGTGCCCAAGACGCTCTTCCAGATGCGCGAGGAGCGGCGCGAGGCAGAGGAGCACGCAGAGGCCATGCGGCGCGAGCAGGAGCTCGCCGCGCAGCTGGCCGAGGCGGAGGCGGACGCCGAGGGCGCGGACGACCTCGACGACGAGCCCATGGCGGACGGGGCCGAGGGGGAACCGGACCTGGACGACGAGATCCCCGAGGCCGAGGGCTTCGGGTTCGACGGGGACGACAGCGGGGAGGAGGAGAGCGCGCCAGAAGACGACGAGGATGACGACGAGACGGACGAGGAGGTGGACCAGACGGAAAACAACGCCGGGCAGGTGCTGGTCAGCCCGGCGGAGCGGCGGGACATGCAGGCGACCGAGGACCGGGTGCGCGAGGTGATGGCCCAGGGCCAGGAGGGCGGCGGCCTCACCATGCTCGACGACGACGCCGTCGACGCGGAGGACAGGGCGCAGATGCTCGAAGAGGACGACCTCATACACGACTACCACCAGGGCGGCGGCGGCGGCGGCGACCGGGGTGGCATGGACATGGACATGGACGCCGACCTCGACGACGACATCCCCGAGGCCGAAGGGCGTTACGAACACACCGACTCCGAGGCCGAACTCAGCGACGAGGGCACGAGGGACGTGTCCTTTGCCAGCGCGGGCCGCGCGCCGCAGCCCTCCCGGTTCAGGAGGAGTCTGCCCAGGAGCAGTGTTAGGGGCAGTCAGAGGGGCAGCCTGGCGCAGAGCGACATAGACTTCAGTGGTCTCCTGTCGACGAATGAGAGCAGCTACCTAGCAAGCAGCCCGCAGATGAGGCGGAGGGGCTAAGCGGAAGTTGAGTAAGGCGACAACAGTATGATACCCAACCAAAGAGATTGTAATATAGCACGCATCGGGATCCGCCGCGGGTTGCCCTGCAGCATTGCGGTCATGGCCCTCCTCATGAATGCGGGTCGATGTAGATATTTGTACAAAAAGGCGCGTTACGCATGCATTATTGGTGAGCTTGGTTCTTGCCCATGATATGTGGTCCAAGCGGTATATGTATATGTATGACCCATTCTCCTCGAAGCTCATGTAGCCATTCAATTCCATTTCTCGTGAAAACGAGGCGCCCCAACGCCGGTTCAGAACCGATGCGCGTTTCTCAACTCGACCCCTTCATGGCCAGCCATTGTAGTTGAGCCACACCGGGCCCCGGGGGACCGTCAACTCGACCCCAGAGAACCGCGGGCGAACGCTAGAGCGCGGCTCGCTCAGTGTGCACAGGTGGCACACCAGTCCTCAGTGTCGGGAATCCCACATGCCCAACCGTATCTCTCGCGTTGCGTGCGTGCGTGTTTGCATTCAATCAAAACAGCCACACGTACACGAAGAGGAGGATCACCGCGGCGAAGAAGCCCAGCCAGACCTTCCAGCCGACGCCCGTCCGCTCGGCCATCAACAGCATTCTGTTCATGGTGCCGCGCACGCGCAGCCGCATGTTGTCGAACTGGTCGTTCATCTTCTCCGCGAGGGCGGAGGAGTCGCGGATCTCGTCGCCGATCGCCACCGTCATCTACAGTCCCAGGGGCGGGCTATTGTCAGCTTTGCGTTACTCGTATTTGCGTGACAGAGACCGCGCGGCTGTCCGCGGCTGGGGGAAAGTCCAAACATACATCTTTCAGGACCCGCACCTTGCCCATGATGCCGTCGATCTGCGCGTCGTTCTGGCTTTCGAGCTCGTTGAGCACCGCGTCGCTGTACTGGCCCCTCCTGTTCGGCGTCGCGGGCCGGAAGCCCCCCCTGCTGCTGCTGTCGACGCCCAGGTGTGATGACGTCCCGTTCCCGTTGGGCGCGGGCCCGCCTGGGTATCCGTAGCCATAGCCCCGGCTCGGGCTCGGCGTGATGCCCCTCCTGTTGTCGGCGCCGGAGCCCGTGTAGCCCTCGAACAGTGCGGAGCGCGAGTCGCGCTGGTGGAGGGAGGAGTTGAACCTGGTTCCGAGACGGAGTGAGCGTCAGTAAGGAAGAGGCCTCTCAGAGTGTCTTCCCGTGCGGCAAGTGCCGGTGGGCGGAGGCGCCGGTGATGGCGCCGGATGCATCCTCTCTCCGTTGCCTACCGTGCAACCGTCGCAAAAGAAAATCGTGGCTTCTTGCTTCTCCGGCCAGACTAGATGCACCTTAAGACGGTGAAGTTGATACTGTCTTGGCGCTGGCGGATGCGCGAGGCCACAGGAGACAAGAAAAGTTGGGCGTGCGAACTCACCTGGATGCCATGGTTGACGGCGCCCTCCTTCACATGCGAGGCGTTTGAATGTGTTGAGAAAGAGGAAGTTGGTGCAGGAATGGGGCTTGTTAGGTGACGAAATGGGGGTGCTCCTGCATGGTCCTGCAAAGCCAGGGATCTGGAAGATTAGGAAATGAGTAGTCGCCGAAGTTGTTCACATTTGTCTGGACGCGAGTGGCCAGGCGTCTGCAGGGTCACTTTGTCCGGTTCGCTTTCAGGAAGAGCCAGAGCTTTTTTATTGAATTGATTGCCCATTCATGAGGGGCCTGCCTTGCCCGTATGTAAGGTACCACTAGGCGTCTTCTAGGTACCTGCGGGGTACGTACCTACCACCTACAATGGGCCGCCGTATTCCCCACCGCCTATGACAACCGCCTGCTTCAAGTCTTCGACTTACCTGTGATGAGGCTTAGCTTTTTTGAATAACAAATCAAGCTTTATGCAAAAGCGTACATGTCATACGCGGCACTTCTTCTCATTGCAAGATGCAAGGGATCACAGGGGATAGGCGCATCATTGCAAAGTACAAGGCAACTATTCCTTTGTGTAGGGTACCTTGACTGGTAATTGTTGGTGCTGGTATGCTAACAAGCAACACCAAATGACAGCTCAGTCAATCATCGCATCTAGACTCGATGCTTGGGCATCTGGCCATCCATCCTGAAGTCTTCTGGTTCAATCCAGTATTCCAGTGTTCACAAATTCCACGGACACGCCACCGTGGTATTTCTTGTTTTCGTAACTTTCATAAATCCGTCGTGACCAGTCTTCCATTAGGTGAACGTTGCTCGTTGGCATTGAGCGCAAGACCACTTGAGGCTGGGCAGCAGGTTACAGCGTCTAGTCCTCGTCCATCTTGTCGTCATCCTCCTCGAAGTCCTCATCGTCATCCTCGTCCTCGTCCTCGTCGGCGGGGTTCTCCTCGGCGGCCTTGGCGAAGTCGATAATCTTTCCGCGCGTGCGACGGCCCACGACGTTCTCTAGGGAGATGGCCTCCTCGGGGTTGCCACTCTCGTCATCCTCCTCGGCTGTATCATGTCAGGTTAGAAATGCGGGGCAATCGAAGGGAGAGGGGTTGTAATGCGCGGGCCAACACACCATCCTCGGGAGCCTGGCAAGCAGTCAGTTAGCGGGAGTTCATGGCAGCCGCGCAGAGGCGCATGGTGGGGAATTGGCGAGCGCACCTCATCCTCGTCCTCGTCCTCATCGTCATCATCCTCGTCCATAGCGACATCGGCGGGGACATCCTCAGCGGTCGCGGTGGCCTTGCCTTTACCCTTAGCATCGGCGACGGGCGTCTCCTGGGCAGCAGTGGTCGCGCCCGTGGTGTTCTCGGTGACGTGATCGTTCTCGGTGGCCATTGTGGCTGTTGCTTGCAGATGTGGTGTTGAGAAAAGGTCGAGGTCGTTTGACAATCAAGAAAACGTATGGGTGGGAAGGGTGGCTTCTGTTTGCGATCACGAGGGCAGGGAAAGGAAAGATGGTGGAGGGAGGGAGAAGAGAAGAAGGCGAGAGCTGCTAGACTGCCTGCAGGCGGTTTCAATGTTCCCTTGCGAAATTTTGTGGGTCCAATCAACACTGGTTGGCGGGGAGGAAGCTTCAGCTCTAGGGAGCAGGGATGCGGTTAGGTCTGCTCCCTTTCAGGCCTGCACTCGAAGCGTAGCAGGTACCGCCAAGCAGCATGGCGGCAGGAAGAGAAACGAGGTGATGCAGAATGAACGATCTGAGGGGCGAGTTCAAAAAGACGGGGAGAGAACACAGCAACTTGCTGGCACGTAAAATCGAGACACCTCCCTGTGCAGTCTCCTAGGAACCGTCGCGCAAGCTGATGACTGGGAGGTTGGTTTCCCAGAAGTAAGCATCATGGCGCTCATATCACGTCGTCCACCAAACCAAAAGAACAGTCGCGCATCGTGTCGTCGCAATCGTGTTGAGCCATTTTCACATCTATTTGCCTTCGCCGCCGCCGCCGCCCATGGCTAGCAACATGGCGATGCCGATCATCCACCAGTATCTTGACCGTAGAGTTAGCCTGACGGTTCCAGTGCAGCACCATCACCACGCATGGGGTCTTCAGAGAGGGGCTGGAAGATGTCACGAACTTCTGCAGGAAGGTCTTCTCCTCCTTCTCGACCTTCTTTCCCTCCGGACTCAGCACGATCGGCTTGTTCAGGTCCGGCTGCTTCCCCCTGCTCGTCAAAAGCAAGCTCGCCTGCGGTCCAAAATCCCGCGTCTGCCCGGCATCTATCCTCACGCCCCTCACGCTCGCCCCCAGGACAACCTCTTCGCCTGACGTGCCGTCGACCGACAGCACAAAGTGAGGCGAATAACCCTTCGCGAAGTTCTCAGCACTGGCCACGCTGGTCGAGCCCGCCCACTGTTTCTGGTTCGCGTCGTAGATGCCGACCCGGACGAGGTCTGTGGACTCTGGCAGTTCAGGGGCTTCGTAGGATGTCACTGACGCGCTGCTGGCTGTGTCCGGTGCGCTGCTGTCGTAGGTGAGTCCGGCGAGTAGGACCGGAGACGAGCTCGAGCCTAGGGGCTGGATGTAGATGTTTGCCGTTCTGGCCTCGGCGTAGACGACAGATGCCGCGCCTAGCAACGCTGACGCGATAGAAATGACACGCATCTTGTCTGGCGAATTTCCCCGGGGCTCTGGTGTTTTGCGGCAGCGCAATCGTGCGAGGGTAGGTAGGTAGGTTGTGCTGCTCGCCGGAGGGATATAGCTATCTGTACGGCAACAAAGTGTACGTACGACGGGTGGCAGGGTTGAGCCTAAGAGCGGGTTTGGGCAAGACGCCGCACGGGCCACCAAATCAAGCACTGGAGGAACCCCGTAAAGTTGTATCGAAACTGAGCATGGCTCCAATGAGGAACTCGCAGCACTTGCTACCTCGATGCCACCAGTTCTTGTCATGAACAGCACTTGTGCACAACTATGCCTCATAACACATTAATTCTTCTCATGCTTCTAACCGGGCTCCGGACCTTTCTCCAGAAATGCAACGATGCAGGATATCATATGAACTCCCTTGTAACTTTCACCATTGTTTCCGACCTTGATGTACGCCGATCCCTCTCAACATTTGCTAGCAGCTTGTCTCTCTCTGGTCAAATTTTCGGGCAACTTTCAATGCTGCGCTTGAGCTGAAGTGTCTGGCGGTTCAGACTGCGGGGAGATCTCGCTCTCACTTGCGTTCTCCACCTCTTCAACATCTTCGTCCACTTCGTCAGATATCTCGGTCGACCCGTCCTCGTCCTCCTGGTCCACCTCGTCCTCGAGCACATAGGCTGGCGACCTTTGCACCAGTCCCCTGTAGTAGGCAACAAGGACCTCCGGGTCTGGCACGATCTTCCAGTCCACCCTGTGCAAGAACTCTAGCTCTAGCAGTTTCAGCTCGGCTACCCTTACGCCACCCACCCTCGCGTACGTGGAATTATTCCAAAATGAATCCGATAGTCCTTTCGCCGCCACCGTAGCAGCTGTGATAAGAAACCGGTGAACTGTCAATGTGTTGATCGTGAAATCCGGGTATAATGCACACAATCGATCAATGTAGTAGACCATGGAGAGAAGTAGTGGCGGAGGCAGCGTTGCGTGCTTAGCGAGCCGATGCAAATAGTCCAGAACAGATATCCCTGGCGCCGTCCTATTCCAGCGGTTAGCAAGATTGCCCACAAAGGTCGATTGGGATCGCTCATGCTTTGGGCGCATACCGGCTGTGAAACCGTGTAAGGTGCCCCGACCTCATTGCCAGGGCGTCATTGGTCTCTATAAGTTCCGAAAGCATGTTCGCTATGAGAACCACGATGTCTTCAATCGCACACAGCTCGTATCGCACGGGCAGAACCTTGGGCGGTGCCGTGTCGGGCTTGACGCGCTTGGGTAAAGCCCCCGAGTGTTGCCCAGCGGTCGATGACTCTCCGATCGATGCGCCGGGTCCTTGGGAATTGCGCCGCTTGACCGGCGACAAGGGGTGCGGCGCCTTCAGCATTGGAGGCTCCTCATCCAGGAGTGTATCGCCAGTAGCTTCAGACTGCGAGTCGACAATGGTCGTGGCCTGCTCGGTAGGCACCGTAGAGGTGGAATCGCCCTGGGAGGCCTGCTCGGACTGGGCTTGTGACGGGTAGGCACCAGGCACAGAAGGAGTAGTCCTCAATGGCGAGAATCGTGCGGGAGCTTTGCGCGGGGCAAAGTAGTCGTGTGGCTCCATGGGAGAGTACTGCGTCGCGGCATCGACGCCGACGTACTTGGCGGTGCGCTCGGGTGGCGCTTGCGACTTCGGCGGGGGCTTCGACTGCGGCTTTGACGACGATGACGGTGAGGTCATATTGGCGCCCAATGGCGATGTTGTCGACGGCCGCCGCGAAACAGCGGTCGGCACCTTGGGCGAGCGAGATTGTGGGGAGGCGGGCGCATAGTGGAAACTGGTGTGGAAGGAGCTGGGCGAGGCACTGGGAGACCTTGCAGGCACGGGAGAGCGAGTCAACATGGTCTCCGCAGCATCGTCTGGGACTTGTGCTCGAGGGACGCGAAAGTGTTGGGATGGGTATGCCACCCGGGTCCCACGAGCGTGGAGAGAGCCGCCGAGCGTTGCGGAGCCGCGATCGAGTGCAAGGAACCGAGGGTTGAGTGTTGGACAGACGGATAACCGCCGCTAGTAGGGGCAGATCCGGGGGTTCGAGATGGGGCCCAAGCAGGCAGCTTGCAGGCGGCTTAAATCGGTGGGCAGGCGGGCAGGTAGGCTGATTGATAGGAAGATATCGATTGTGACAGGGCGTCGGACGCTCTGGGGGTTCTAGTCAAGAGTCGTTTTGAAAGAATGGTATGGGTAGGTCGACGTGGAGGTAGGCAGAGATTGTCACCCGAGTTGAATGGCCAGAACAGCCCACGTGTTGAGGCTCAGGCGGCCGGACTGGAGATCTCGTCAACCTTGGAAAACCAAAGATATGGCAGCCCCACTTCTGCACAATGCCGGGGCAGGACTCGAGACGGCAGGCTCCCGGATAGGCTGTGGGTATCTGTCTACCTGGGCCCGGATATGATACAAGTATAGCATGGACGGCCGTATCGTCGTGGAGGAGGGGAAGCTGGACGGGTGTCGACCCTCGCCCGCCGATTTTGCTGCCTCTGTCCCGCTCAGGTCATGAGCCTAGCAGGAGACACCGCCCAGGCCGTTGGAGCCGACTAGAGCTCAGCCCAAGGGTTCTGGATGGGCCCGGTGGCTTTGTGCCCAAAGGCTGAGAGGCGCCTGTCCTGAGTCTAGCGCGCCTGGGAGGGCAAAGCAGGCCGAGGAGGGTAGTTTGCGCCGGATCGGTCTCCTGTCGGACTAGCAGGCGCGGAGGGGTGGGAGGCTAGAGAGGGCAAGAGGGCACAGAGGAATCGGCGATACGGCGATGACGAGAGTGGCAGTTTGGGGGTGCTGGGCTAAACTGAGTTGCACACCGAGGCTCTGGGAAGCCTTGTCGGCGGTCAGCACCGAAGTTGGCTGGCAAGGTAGCAAGCCTCAACGGACCGCCCAGGCGGGTAGCCGCCTCTGCCTGCGCACTCTGGACCTCTGGCTGTGCCTGTGTCCGTGCTCCGTACTCGTGGCTGAATCTGGGCCGACAATGCATGCCATGTCGTCCCGGCGAGGTGGTTCCGGCATCGCAAGGACGAACCCATTCCTTGGTGTGGGTGTGCCCGACAGGCGAGCGAGGGGTTACTGATTCAGTCACCCAGTCGCTGGCGCGCAAGGTCAAATGCTACACCACCTGGACCTGGACCACACCGGACAGTGATAAAAGTGGGCAGGTGCATATGTTGGCCAAGCAGCCCTGGGTCCTCCATTCCGTGATGGCCGCAGGGTTAGATTGTGCCGGATCATGCAGGGCAGAGACAACATATCCGACGGGAAGCTCTGCATGCATTTTGAAAATTGCCATTGCACAAATGCACATGTCTGGTTACAACACAATAGGCGCACTTCTAAGCACTGTAGTGGCACTTGCAAACTGCTTAGGCACCTGGGTACCTACCTAGGTAGTCTCCACTAACTTTTCTCCAAACATATCCCAACCAGGTTAGTTAGCCCCCCGGCTCTAATTAATCCACGCCTTACCTAGGTTTAGTAATGTTTAATATATAAATCACCTTAATTACTTTTCCGGCCTTAAAACATATTAAAGTTAACTTATCTTTTCTTAAAATTAATTAACTTTATATAATATTATATATTAAAATTTAATTATTATTATTAAATTAATAAATTATATATATATAAGCAAAGTAATAAAGCTTAATTCTTAGCATTTAAATATTTTATAACTTAATAATTAATTACTTATTACTTAATTATTATATTTTTATAACTTATAACCTTAATTTATTACTTTTTTTTATTAAAAAATATTTATTACCTTAATTTTATATTTAAAATAAGTATAATTACTTATTTTTTTACTTTTTCTTACTTTTTACTTTTTATTTTTAATAATTATATTTATTTTTTATATAACTTAATATAAATTATTATATTTTTTTATTTAATTTATTTTTTAAATATTGTTTAAGCTTAATAATATAAAGGTTTAAGTTATATATTAAATTATATAAATTTAAAAAGTAAAATAATTTAAAAAAAAGATTTAAAAAAGTTTTATTTAAGTTATTAAATTTAAAAGTATAATATAATAATATAGTTTATTATTAAGTAATGAATATTATTAAGTAGCGGATTTTTTTAACTTTACCTAACTTATATTAATTATAATATTATATTAAAATAAATAAATTAATAAAAAGTTAGCATTAATTAATGCTAATTATATTTAATTCTTTATTTTTAATTAATTTTATTAATTTAAAAGCATTAATATAAATATAATGTTAATTTAAATAAGTTAATTTTTAATAAAAAATATATATTTAATATTAATTAATACTAATTATATTATTAAAAATGCAATTTATTATAAATTAATAAAATAATTATATTTATATTAATTAATATTAATTAAGCTAGATTTGCTATAATATAATTAAAATTTAATTAATTAAACCTTTTTTTATCTTTTTTATAAGTTCTTGCATTATGCTTAATCTTATTATAATTATTATATTATTATTTAATTAATTCACTGCAAATTACCTCCTTAGCATTATTATTTATTTTATTAGCTAATTACTTCCCCTTTTATTTCTCTTAAATAAAAGCTTAAGATTTCTTAATAATAAATACTTTTTTAAGTTATACTTAAGTTTTTTCAACCCTTTAATATTTAATAAATATTATATTAATATCTTAAAATATATAAATTTATTTACTTATTATAATAAATAAATATATTATTATTTATATACTTTTTATTAATTAATTAATAACCTTTATAATTAATATAAAAAAGCTTTTTTAATAAGTAAAAATTTTATTTTTAATAAAATTTAATTATTAAATAATTTATTAAGTATTTAATAATATTTAAAACTTTTATTTTTAAAAAGAAATAAAAAAAATTATATTAAAGTTTATAAATAAATATTAAGCTTAAAAATTATAAAATTAAAATCTTAAGAAAAGAATTTAACTCCTTTAAATATAAACTTAATATTATTTATTATAAAAGTTTTATTATAAGCTATTTTAAATATAAGAAAGAACTTAAATTGAATAATATAATTAATAAAGGCTTAAATAAAAGAATTAATTTTATTATTATATATATACTTTAAAGGTAAATATAATGTAATATTTAATAATTAAAATAAGTAAAATAAATATAATAATATATTAATAATAATAATTTTATTATTTTTATAATATTAATTAAATTTAATTAATATATAGCTTTTATAATTATTTATAATTAATATTTAATAATTTATATTTCTTTTTAGCTTAATATATTTATTAAAGTATTAAATTAATTTTAAATTAATTTTATTATTTATTTATTTATTAAAAATAAGCTTAATAATTTAATTATTTAAAAAATTTAATTTTATTACTTAATTAATAAAGTAATAAATACCTTAAATAATTATAAATAGTAAAATTTATAATTTACTTATATTAATATATTTAATAATAATTATGTTGGTTGGGTTAATGTATGTTGGTTAATAGCAAATTGGTTGTATTTGAATTGGTTATATAGAAGGAAGGAGGGTTGCGGCTGTAAGCTGCAGAACCTCCCTTTGGCTATAAACTATTTGGGGTGGTTACGTGTTGCCGCATGTAACCCTTGCCTGTTGGTGCTTTAATGCTAATTACCCATAATACCTATCACCCATAATATTGCTATCCCCTTATGGCATATTTATAATTATATTAGCAATCTTTAATTAAGTAGTTTATATATGCCTTTAAAAAGTATATAAGAAAAAGAAGTTAAATTAAACTTAAAGCCGTTAAGTTTAAATTTATTAATTAATTAAATTAATTAAAAATATGCATTTATTTAATTATGCTAAGTGCTTATAAAAGGTAGGCATATAAAAAGGCCTAAGTTATTATTAAGGGGTTAAAGGTTAATTGTTTCATTAAAGTATGCAATTAATAAATAAAAGTCGTTTTAATAGTTATGCATAATAAATTGTTTTAATTACGTTAATTAATAAAGCGCAAATCATTACTTTTGCTATATAAATATTTCATTTATAATGCATTTTATAAATTCATGCTTTTATTGCTTATAGCGCCTAAGTTAAATAAAAATTAAATTAAACCTTTAAATTAATAATATTATTATTTAATCTTTAGCTTGTAATATGCCTTGATTTAGTTTAACTTAAGCTTAATTATGCCTAATTTCCGTGATTAAATAAAGATTGATTAATTATGGAGAAAGGATGGGTAAGATAAGTTATAGGGGTTGATAAATAAAGTATTTAAATAAAGGAGAAAAGTTAAGTATTAAGAGATTATTTAATGTTAATTAAGTTAATAAATACATATATAAGATTAATATGTAAGTATTAAATCGCGAAATTTAATTAAGGACGCTTATTAAATATAAGCTGGCAACTTAAGTACTTATGGAATAATAATAACCCTTGTTATTTAAACCCTTAATGCATAGGCATTATTATAAAAATCTTGGTTATAAGGTTTGCCCTTGAAAGGAAAGTAATTCTAAACATAAGCTATATTATATCGTTTCTTAAGGTAATTTATAGTTAATTAATAAAAGGAAGATTTAAACTTTTGCTAGTTTTATATATTTTTATTAAATAAAAGCAAAAACTAAATTGCTTTAGCAATCTTTTCTTTATAACCTTATTTATAATTAACCTAACTTATTAACTTTTATTAACTTTCATTTAAATATATTCCTTAATAATAAGCAATAT